AGGTAGGGCAAGGAGGGTGCATCACAGGTCATAGGCGGACCTAAACAGATGAGTTTTAAGGGACTTTTTGAAAATGGACGAGGTTTCACTATGACGTATATGGAAGGGGAGCTGGTTCCAGAACGTGGGTCCATGGAAGCAGAAGGAGCGTTCACCGATGGTCTTAGTTTTAGTTCTTGGGATTGAGAGGGTTCTACTGTCAATGGAAGAACGTAGTTGTCTTGTGGGGATGTAAGGAAGCAACAGTTCAGAGAGATAGACAGATATCTCAGAGTCCTTAGAGCGAGGTCCGACATGATTTCAATGGATGAAAAGAAATCGCTAGTTTAAGCGCGGTACCCGATATACTACCGTACAGAGATAATATCATAAGGATGTTGAAATGAACATAGGGTCAATCAAATAATCAAACAAAACAACCAAATAATCAAAAAAAAAACTCAACCAAATAATCAAAACAAAACAAATAATCAAACAAAACTCAACCAAATAATCAACCAATTGACCAAACATATTTTTAAAAAACAACAATTAAGCGAGGAATCAAAGATTTGTGATTTGGGCTCTGAAAATAAACATAGTGGAAGATTACACCTAAACAACTTTTTTTTTCTTTCTTTCTTAAGGCTGGTCCTGATCGTCGGACAGAAAATCGTGACAGGATTCGCTGGCGACATAATATGTTAACAAAGATAATACAGTCAAAGGAAGACTTGGGTTGTTTAAACTCAATTTAAATGTTATCCAAGGCTTTGAGACTCCAACAATGATTGGCGGCTGTTCAACGGACAGTGTTCGTCCTTTGAGCATGAAGACCACCAAGGAAATTTTCATCTTGAGTAGTAAGCCTTGACCTGAGCCGCAGATTGTTTAAAGTGATGAGAGAGATGCCCTATTCGTCAGTCTCACTCTCTTTATATATGGTATATGGTATATGGTATATGGTATATGGTTTATGGTATATGGTATATGGTATATGGTATATGGTATATGGTATATGGTATATGGTATATGGTATATGGTATATGGTATATGGTATATGGTATATGGTATATGTATGTGTGTATATTCCACAACCGTATGATATAAAAGATACGCGTATCTTCCCCCCCCCCTCTTCTTCTCTCTCAAGATATAATTTGCCGGCTGATGTAGCCGAACTTTCGTTACCGAGTAACAGGGTCATCACATGACCAAGTAACAGGGTCATCACGTGACCAAGTAACAGAGTCATCAAGTGACCAAGTCTCACGAATCTAAACAACGAGCAATCACATCACTCCAGAGCAAAGTATTCGCGTTTGCTTTGTCGCATCAGAAACTCAAATACATTTATGGAAGTCCGCAGGGGCGGAGCCTGCAAGTGGGTTGTGTCTTACATTTGATTAGGTTTTTCTTAATTTTTTTTTTTTAATGTTGAAACATTAGCACAGCTGTCCTGCCTTTTTGAATTGGGAGTATTTCAACATAAAAACATCGAATGAGTTAAATGAGTGTTGATATTATTAGCTTGAATATAAGCACAGGGATATAGAAGAAAGAACACTATTTTCAGAAACAAAAACTGTGTGCATTAAAGAACTTTTTTTTTTTCATTTCCGTTCTTGATCCCAATTTAGTGGAAGTGAATATTTATATATTTAAATAAATAGTTTTATATTTTAGTAAATAGATTTATATTTAAGTGAATAGTGTTATATTTAAATGAATAGTTTTATCTTTAAGTAAATAGATTTATATTTAAGTGAATAGTTTTATATTTAATTGAATAGTTTTATATTTAAGTGAATAGTTTTATATTTAAGTGAATAGTTTCCAAACTCCAGTGCTTTAGAGTCAAGGAGCCCTCTGGAAAAATGGGGGTTTTAACCAAGAGTGCCCTCAACCCCTGGTGTTCGGAGGCAAGGTGTTGGGAAGGATCTGGTTTAACTTTTTTAATATCTCTAATGTGTAAATATTGGCGACCCGTCTGCTTACAAGAACCTCTGCCATAGACGTTATAAAATAAAATGTGATGATAGTTTTCTATAGCGCATAAGTTCAATATAATGGCGTCCCTTTGCTGATGACAAAAGCGCTTCCAAAACCAAGAGAAACGAAGATAATGAAGGGGACCTAACGCAGGCTTTCGAAAATTTCACGTCGAGCGCCCCCGAGGTTATTTCCCTTTTGAAATGACTCTAATCAAGTAGGCGCCCACACCATTCAGGTCACGTGATGGCCTCATACAGCTAGTCATATGTCCTACTAGAGAGGTTCTCAATATTAGGACTGACTCAAAAATGAAATTTCTAAACATGGGGTATAGGAGATTTTTTAAAATGTGGAGTGGAGGGGTGGAAGTTACACCAGAAGCAAAACATACATAAGCGATAAAGTGATGTCACCTTGAATATTCTGAACACATTTCTCTAAATTATGAAAACAAATCTTTTTTTAGTTCGTCTATAAGTATGAGCGGAAATTAAAATATTAATTTTAAGAAAGCAGCCGTCATATTCGGGGCCACATATACCAATCAGGAGCGGAAACTCAACAGCTTCCATCAAAGATGTCTGCGTCGCATTTTACGCATTCGTTGGCAGGACAGGGTGCCTAACGTGGAGTTTTTGGAACGTGCACACATGTTTAGCATATTCTCCTCTCTTATCAAGAGACGCCTTCGCTGGTTAGGTCATGTACGGAGGATGGAGGAAGGACGTATCCCAAAGATGCTGCTGTATGGAGAGTTGGAAGAAGGGACAAGACATTGGACGACCACGCCTGAGATTTATTGACGTTTGCAAACGAAGCATGAGGGAAGCCAATATTGAAAAAAAACCAATGGGAGTTCATTGCTGCAACTGGCGATCAGCAGGGTTCAAAGGCTTTAAAAAGGCAGAAGATGCTCGAAACGAGGCACTTAAATCAAAAAGAACAATTCGGAAATCAAGATC